AAAAAAGGGAGACCTCACAAACACCACCTCAGCCACGTGATCAAGGCTAATGTCAAGTGACCAGTCAGGGTGGTGGTTGTGCCCCAGATAGGACCTGATGATAAGGGCTCTTTCCCTCTGGGGTCTTATCCCCTCATCCCCCAACCCCAGCCCCGTCATGAGGAAAACACCAGAAAAATCCCAATATGAGACATCCTACAAAATGCCTCACTACTCCTCATAATTGTCAAGGTCATCAACAGGAAAGCATGAGAAACTATCATAGCCATGGGGCACTCAGGTGACAAGACAACTGCATGTAATCCTGGATGGACTCCTAAGAGAGAAAAGGGACATTAGGTAAAAGCTAAGGAGCTCTGAATAAAGTATGGGCTTTAGTTATAAAAATCTATCAGCATTGGCTCATTAATTGTGACAAATGTACCACTCTAACCTAAGATGACAGGGAAACTGTGTGTATGGGGGGGTAGGTATATATTGGAACTCTGTTATCTAGACAAATTTTCTGTAAATCTAAAACTATTCTAAAATTCAGGAAGGTGGGAATTTAAGCAAAAACTACAATTTGATTATAGGTTTAACAAATACATTAAATGCAATAAGCTTTCTGAGCAAACAAAAATTCTGAATTATAATTCACAAAAATAAATTCATATATATTTTAAAAATTATTTTAGATGTCATATATTAGAAATCTTATGTCTTTCTTAAATTTTATAAAAATCAAGTCACTAACTTTATGCCTCTTGCCTCTTCTTTAATGTATCCTTTCTAATACAGAGTTAATATGTAAATTGACTGTCACTTCAACACAAAAAATTGCTGCCCCCATGTAGACACAAGATGGCAGGCAGGGGAGGGCATTTGTAGGGGATCAGGCCAGCAGGGGAGGGAAGTTGGGAAGGACCAAGCCTAAAAAAGAGGGCAATTGAAGGCCATCAGGCCTGCAAGGGAGGACAGTTAGGAGTGACCGTGCCAACGAGGGAGGGCAGTTGGGGAGGACCCAGGCATGCAGGGTAAGGTAGTTGGGGGGAATCAGGACAGCAGGGGAGGGCAGTTGGGGACAACCAGCCCTGCAGGGGAGGGCAATTAGGGGGAACCAGGCCAGCAGGGGAGGGCAGTTGGTGGCAATCAGGCTGGCATGGGAGGGCAGTTAGGGGCAACCAGACTGGCAAGGAAGGGAAGTTAGGGGTGACTGGGCCAATAGGGGAGGGCAGTTGGGGGCAACCAGATGGGGCAGGAGAGGACAGTTAGGGGAAATCAGGCTGGTAGGGGAGCAGTTAGGCATCAATCAAGCTGTCAGGGAGTGTTTAGGGGGTGATCAGGCTGGCAGGCAGAAGAGGTTGGGACAATCAGGCAGGTGAGTGGTTGGGAGCCAGCAGTCCCAGATTGTGAGAGGGATGTCTGACAGCCCGTTAGGCCCAATCCTAGCGGACATCCCTCAAGGGGTCCCAGATTAGAGAGGGTGCAGGCTGGGCTGAAGGACACCCAGCCCCCCCCCCCCCTCCTCCCCACCCGTGCATGAATTTCATGCACCAGGCCTCTAGTAGTTTTATAATGGTAATCAGCCTCACTTCTTTTCTGGATGTAGAAGTGGTATAAATAATGCATGATAAGTGTAATGTTGTCTCAATATTTAGAAACATGTTGAAGATGAGGTGGTTGCATGGTAATGCCACCACTTTTGCAAATCAAAGTATCTGTCAGCTAATGGCCAATTCCAAGGCTGCTGGGAATGGGAGTGTGGGAAGTGGCGGGGGGGGTGGGGGGGGGAGGGGAGGGAGGGCAGGTGGCAATGACACTACAGGAAGTGAAGCCCTGGTGAAAGGTTGTGGTTCTTCTCTTGTATGAAACACTTCATCTGTACCTGTAACACATTTCAACAAGCCAGTTTTGAAAACACAAACAAGCTGGCAAAGAAGTGTCTCTGCCTGGCGGGCAGCACCCTTACTCACTGCTGACCACTGTGGAAGAGAATCAGGGGTCCTGAGTTTGGCCCCTTCTATGGGCCTGTCTGGGGTCCTAGAGGCCAAATGGCCACCCAACTAGTCTCTGCCACCCACTGTCAAGTAAAAATAAAACTGGCCAAAACCGGTTTGGCTCAGTGGATAGAGCATCGGCCTGCGGACTGAAAGGTTTCAGGTTCGAGTTGGTCTGAAGGTTGTGGGTTATTATTAAGCTGAAAGGTTTCAAGTTTGATCCCGGTCAAGGGCATGTACCTTGGTTGCGGGTACATCCCCAGTGGGGGTGAGGGGGGTGCAGGAGGCAGCTGATCGATGTTTCTCTCTTATTGATGTTTCTATCTCTCCATCTATCTCCCTTCCTCTCTGTAAAAAGTCAATAAAATATATATATTTTTAAAAAGAATTCTGTGTTGCCAAAACTGGTTTGGCTCAGTGGATAGAGTGTCAGCCTATGGACTGAAAGGTCCCAAGTTCGATTCCGGTCAAGGGCATGTACCTTGATTGCAGGCACATCCCCAGTAGGGGGTGTGCAAGAGGCAGCTGATCGATGATTCTCTCTCATCAATGTTTCTAACTCTCTATCCCTCACTCTTCCTCTCTGTAAAAAATCAATAAAATATATATTTTTAAATAATAATAACAAAATAAAAAGAATTCTGTGAAGTTGATTTAGCAGAATCCCCTTTAACCAATATTTCAATCCACGGACTGGAACCTGCTCCTTGGTGACAGATCTGCACTTGTGTCCCAAGTCGTGTCGCGAATGCAGCACCTGGAGCTCCAAGTCTGCACCTGTCACTTTCCAAAGATACAGGGTTTGGCCACTTTATTTCACCGACCTCGGTCTACCCCGCAGTGAAATCGAAAGCTCATGACCTTAGTTGTAAAGATTAGATAAAAATGATGGCGGTGAAGCTGTCATCGCAGAGGAAACGCAGGCAGGACCCACGTGGAAGAAAATTGAAGCAGCCCAGCTGTGCGCGGCCTGCGACCTCAGGCCTTTACCCCGGGAAGGCCCGCAGCCCCCACCGCTCCTCCAGGCACTCCTTCCGACCCGAGGAGCTGTGAGAGGGGACACTCACACATCCCCGGGGAAATCTGACATCTCGGGGCGGGGGCGGTACGGACCAATAGGAACGAGTCCCCGCTGGAATTACTCGAGAGGGCGGAGTGACTCCTCCCACGAGGAGGGGAGAGCTGCGCAGGCGTTGGGTTAAGGAACCAATCCAGAGAAGATAGCTTCGCGCACGCGCCTTGGAAGGCTCCTCGGAGACGCGACAGAACCAGCGCATGCGCTCTGAGAATGTCGGGTCGCAGCGCTCCAAGTCTCCAGAGCAACAGGGGGTAGAAAGGCCCTGCGCATGGGCAGTGGTTTTATTTCAGAATTTTGCGCAGGCTTGCAAGCCAGGGTGTTGTGCGCCTGCGCAGTTCTTGTGCCGCCTCGGTTTGACTCTAGTGCGCCTGCGCGGTCTTTTGTTTCTTCCGGTAGCTGCCGAGCCAATCGGCGTTGTCTCCGGCCGGAACTGGGCGGACTGGGAAGGTTTGGACCGCAGGGTTCTGAATGGCCCTCCAGAGAGGAGCCCCGGGAGCGGCGCCGGGAAGGGAAAGGGTGTGAGGCCCGGGGTGGAGGCAGGGTGTGGGCAGGGGCCGCGCCCGCGCGCTGGGCGCCTTAAGGACCGGGCTTTCCCACTCGGTAGGAGCTAACTCGGCCTCAGTACCGCGTCGTGTCCCTCAGGGTGCAAAAACTGGTAAGTCACTTTAGGCGTAGCCGTCTGGGGGCAGAGGAGTTGGGGTCACAGCGACAGAAAGAGCCCGTCCACCCAGTGCAGGCAGAGCCAAACACCAAACACGAGAGTCGAAGTGGAGAAATATTGGCTACTTATTGATGAAGGGCACCATCTGGGAGAAGGGAGCTAATGCTCAAAAGTAGGAACTTGGTTATAGATTAGTCCGGCAAAGGCACGAGACACCGTGGGTTAGGGGTTCCAGTTGTGCCGGGTGCTGATGATGAGAAGGTGAGGTGAGGGGAAAGAAGCTTTTCTTCAGATCTTGAGAGCTTTGAGGTCTTTTCCGGGTCTCTCTGTCCGGTCTCGTGGGAAAATAGCCAGGGGGTCATTCCACCTTAGGGCTCAGAACTAAGCCGGCCAGAGGTGGGCACTGACACACCATTAGTCAGGCCCAGACTACTGCCTTCTGAGGCGGGTCCTGATTTATCCAAGGGAAAGGCTAGGTCTCCGAGGAGTATAGCGAGAGAAAGGGATAGGGTTTCTAGAGCGAGGATTTAAAACTAAGTCAGTCATAAGGACCTCAGTTCCAAATGGTACTCTGTCGTCAGGTTTCTTCCTGAGAAGTTAAGATCTCACTTTTTCAGTAGCCTTCGTTGAGTGCCTGCTGCAAGCCGGACGGCTTATAGGTTCCAGGGAAATGTAGAGCGATGTTTTTGCCCTTGAAGAGCTCACAAGCTAGTGTTAGAGAGAGAGGTGTAAGCAGGTGTTAGTGCTACCTGTGACAGCTGCTGTAGAAGACACTCCAGGGCTTTCAAACACAAAACACTGCCTCGGGTCTTGGCGGGCCCCTTCAGTGGTCACTGCAGGTGGCAGACGGTTGGATAGGTCTGCCAGAGAGAAGAGGGATAAATATTCTTCCCGAGCACATATTTATCCTGTGCCCACTGCATGCCTGGTATTGTGCCAGGCCCTGCAGATACAGTGGTGACCCCAGACAGACCGGGCCCTGCCCTCAGAGTTTATGCCTAGCAGAGGAATCCACTGTTGAAGAACCCTCCCACATGCACATGAGATGTGTTTTGTAAAGGAGAAGTGTAGGAACCTACAGGGGACCAGGTCTGCATGTGGTCTCCCTCTATATATACATATATATTTTCTAAGTCTCAGTGGTTGACATGTTGGCTACTGGATATCATCAGTTTTATTTTATAAAACGAGAATTGTATGGATTCAAGTGTCCTTCATGGTGTTTGCTGCAGCTTTCATTTCTTCCTCCACTAGCACTCGGCCTGAGCTGGCAGTGGGCCTGATGGCAGAAGATGGCAACCGAGACGCGCCCGCGGCAGGGCTGGGGGCCCTTTGGGGGGCCCTCCGGGCGCTGCTGCCCCGCACGAAAGAGGAGCTGCGGTTGGACCTCGGGGAGAGCGTGGAGAGGAGTGTGGTGCTGCTGCTGCAGCAGGCTGCCGACCTCTTCTACGGGGGCCGGAGGAGCGAGTGTCTGCAGACGAGTGAGGTGGTCCTGGACTACTCCTGGGAGAAACTCAACACCGGGCTGTGGCAGGACGTGGACAAAGACTGGCGTCGGGTGTACGCCTTCGGCTGCCTCCTGAAAGCCGTGTGTCTGTGTGAAGCGCCCGGGGACGCGACCACCGTGGCCGCAGCCCTCAGAGTCTGCGACATGGGCCTGCTGATGGGAGCGGCCATCTTCGACGACATCCTCATTAAAGTCGCCGCTGTCCTTCAGGCGCACCTCCTCCCCGGGAAGAGGCCCGCCCACATTCCGGCCCCGGAGCAGCCCTGCTTAAAGGTATCATGGCGGGATTGTCCTCGACCACACCTAACAGCTCAGCAGCCCTGTTTTCTGGAAGTGACAGGTCACCTCTCTGGCTGAAAATAGCATCTCCATCGACTGGGAAATAGAACAGCTCCATCTCGGTTCTCAATTTCTTCTTCCGGTTTCTGCAGCCCCAGGGTCCTTTAGGGAGGGGGAGGGTGGCAGTTTTGTCGTTCCCGAGAGAAACGGCTCAGGGGTGGTGTGGGTGAGAGGGCAGCCAGCCAGCCCATCTCCTTCAGCTTCTTGGTCAGCTGGTTGAAGTACTGCCCACTTTCTTGGCTGCCTCTGTCTGTGCTGCTGAGTTTGGGAGACACCACAGTTAGCTCTCTGCTGGTCAGGTGGCTGGTCAGTCCCGCCCTGTAGATCCTTGCACGTGTCTCCTCTGGTATTTAAGTGCACGTGGCAAAAGATGGTTCACTGAGACGGCCTCGGAGCCCAGCGCTGACACAGACCTCTGGGAAAGTCTGCTTACAAGGAGGAAACAGATCTATAAAAAGTATCTTGGTTTTAAAAAATGCAAAAGCAGGCAGTCATTTTTAGCTGTGAAATAATTATTAAACGAGCTTTTATTCAGTACCCAGTGTTGTCAAGGGTGCCTTAGAGCTACATACATGGTGTGACACTGACCTTGGAGAGGGCAGGGCAGACATGTAGATCAAGGGACAAAAACCTGTGCCCTTGACCCATGTGTTACAGTGTCCTTTCCCATGCTAAGTCTGTCCCAAGGGCATGTGGAGGTGGCTTCGTGGCCAAGGTGGTGCTCATGGTGCGGGAGGTGTTGGCCAGTGGATATGCTAATAGGTAAAGGCCTGATAGCTCAGGCCCGGAGCCAGCCTGCCAGGGCTCAAGCTCCCACACTGCCATTCACTGCCTGTGAGTCAGGCAAGTGTCATAGCCCCTCTGGGCCCCCTCTGCTCCCTTGCCTGTAAGAGGGGTTTCTCAGCAGCTTTACTGAGCACCAACAGTGGCCCAGATGAGCCAGCCGCGCGGTGATGGCACAGAAGGGCCCAGGCCCTGTCCTCCCAGCTCTGACAGTCTAGTGAGGCTGTAAAAGGTGGGGGGAGGCAGCTTCGGGGAGGTGTTGAGGGAAGGCCTCTTTGACAAGGGACATCTATATATATATAAAAGCCTAATATGCAGAGTGCCCCCTTGGGAGTTTGACCGGCCGGGAATTCGATCACTAGGTATGACGTGCGCTGACCACCAGGGGGTGGTACAGACGAAAGAAGGCCCCAGCCAGCAGCCGGGAGGGACCCTACCCGTGTATGAATTCCGTGCACTGGGCCTCTAGTGTAAACATAAAGCCTGCTGTGACAGCGAAGAGAACAGGCAGGTGCAGGTCCTACCGCTGCATGTAAGGATGTCAGCTGCACTGCAGCCACTGCTGCCAATGTGTTGAACTGGCTGGGGTCCAGCGATGGGGCCAGAGGACGCTGCCACACGCCAGGCGCTCATCCTGGGTCCTTCACACGCACAGCTCGTCTCCCAGTAGTTTAACAGAAGGAAACTGAAGCTCAGGGTCAGTAACTCATTCAGGTCAGTCAGTTGGGAAATGATTAAGTAAATTATGATGCAAACACTCCTGGGACATTGCAAGGACTGGTGGTATCAGGGAAACTGTTTTCGATAAATTATTGGACAGGAGGGGCAGAGTTGCTTGTTCATCATGAGTATGTTACCCGTGGATCAGCGGTGCATCTGTGAGATGGTCGGGAAGGAACTAGAGAGTGAGAAAGAGTGCTCCTATGTTAGATGTTGGAGTGTGGGACAGGAAGTTTTCCTTTGTTGCAGAATTTCTGTGAAAGCAACATATTACTTTTATAATTGAACAAACATTGGAAATGACCTGGTAAAGAAAAAAATAGCTTGTTCTTAGAAGTGAACAGCAGCAGCTGCAGTAATGATAATAAATGTTGGCTATTATTGTTACCAATGACCCCAAAGCTCTCCTACCACTGATGCCAATTCCTGGGTGGTTGCCACCTGCTTGTTTTATCTTAAACAGAAGGCCAGGAACAGCCATGTTTCGATCCCCGATCTGCGGTCAGAGAGAGCAGTCCCCCGGCTTCGCTGTCCGTCGCTGCAGCATTTCCGGAAGCATCATTTGGTCCCACAGACGCCGGTGATCTTGGAAGGCGTGGCTGACCACTGGCCGTGCATGAAGAAGTGGAGGTGGGTGGCTGCTGGGGGCCGGAGGTCCTCCCCCATTTCAGCATTCCCAGGTCCCTGCACTCTTCCCCAGCACCCCCAAGTAGCACAGCCCCTGGACACGGCACCACCAGGCCCTGGGGAGGGGCTGAGGGCTAAACAAGAGCTGACAGCCTGGCCTGGTGGCTCAGCTGGTTGGCACGTTGTCCCTTACACCAAAAGGTGGTGAGTTCAGCCCTGGCCAGTGGGTTCAGTGGTTAGAGCACCAGCCTCCAGACTGTAGGCTGCAGGGCAAGGGCACATACCTGGGTTGCAGGTTCGGTCCCCAGTCTTGGTCAGAGCGCATTCAGGAAGCAACTAGTTGATGTGTCTCTCTCATAACGTTGTTTCTCTCACTCTCTTCTCTCCCCATCCCTCCCATCCACTCTCTCTAAAAATCGATGGAAAAATTACCCTCAGGTGAGGATTAACAACAAAAAAGTTGTGGATTCGATTCTTGGTCAGGGCGCACACCTAGGTTGCGGGTTCAGTCCCTGGTCAGGGTGCATACAGGAAGCAACCGATTGGTGTGTCTCTCTCACGTCAGTGTTTCTCCCCCTTCATCTCTGAAATTAAAAAAATTAAAATGGGGAAAGGAGACATGTGTAATACTATTAATATAAACAATAAATTAAAAAATCCTTGAGTGAGGATTAAAAACAATAAATAAATCCTCGAGTGAGGATTAAAAACAAACAGTAACAGTCAGAGCTCTGGACTAAGATCTAAGACTCTCGCCCCCCCCCCCCAAATGCTTGCCAGAAGCTGTTTTTAGTGCGGGCTTCAGGGACAGTCCAGGGTTAAGTCTCCTACGCAGTTTTGTAGGATCTTGGGAATTTTGTGCACTTCCTCGAGGGCCCTGAGGTTTGGGAGGAGAAATAAGAGCCCCAGACACAGCCTGTCCCCTTCTCTGGGCACCTTGGCTCTTAATTTGCTTCCTCCTCACATCGGCCGGCAGTCCCGCCTCAGCCTCAGGCTCAGGCTCAGGCTCAGGCTCGGGGACAGGCAGCTGGAGGTGGTGGTATTGCCATAGCTGTGCATCTTTTTGGAAATGAGGAGGATCTCGAGAGAAGGGTGAGTGACTCAGCCTGTCATGGTGGTAGCCATGCGGAGGGAGTGGCTCCCCTGAGACAGAGGAGCAGCTCACGTCCCAGCAAGCGTGCAGCATACGTACCCAGAATGTTTCACTGTGTGCCAGGCATGTTACATGTTTCACTGCATGCCAATAGTGTTGCATGTTTGCAGTGTGTCGGCATGGTACATGTTTCACTGCATACCAGGCGCCAAGACAGGCCCTTGCCATGTTCACCCTCTTTATCCCAGTTCCTGCGGGACAGGCACAGTTGTCACCAGCATTTTGCAGTGATGAACAGAGGCTCAGCGAGGTTAGGTAACTTCAGGTCTGTTGCCGCAGGGTCTGGAGTCAATGCCGGGCCACCAGGGCTGAGACCAGGCACGTCTCCACCCCGTACTGCCGGCCATTTACTCAGCTGAGTGACAAGGCGTGCAGAGAGAAGGCTCCTGGCCAGCCGTAAGCAGAGCGGCCTGGGAGAACTGAGGCAGATGAGGTTTACTGGGTCTGTCTGCCAAGCCACCAGCGCCCGGTGGGCGGAGCCTCACCCTGCCCGTGGTCTGGTCGGTCCAGTGGGGTGGCAGCTTCCACTTCGCAAGCGGTGATGCTGAGAGGAGGCCAGCGTCCCGCGGGCTCAGCAGCGGGCCCTGGCAGCATGAGCAGCAGTGACGGAGTGACGTGTCTGTTTTCTAATAGCTTGGAGTACATACAAGAGGTTGCCGGCTGCCGGACTGTCCCGGTGGAAGTGGGCTCCAGGTACACGGACGAGGAATGGTCCCAGAGGCTCATGACGGTCAGTGAGTTCATCGACAGCTACGTCCTGAACGAGGTGTGCATTCTGACTCCTTCCTAATACTTTGGGGGGGCACGTTACATTTGGGCACATAACCTCCGTGCACTGCCCGGAGGTTGGGAGTAGCCAGTCTCTAAGAGTCTTATCCAGAGGGTAGGATCCCTGGCGGCTTATCTAGAGGTGGCCACAGCCAGGAAGGCAGGCTGCTGGGTAGGCAGGTGGGCCACGTGACATGACATGAGGGGCTTGTTTCAAAAACTTTGTTGTACGTTTCAGTGTTTTGAGTATATTCTAAGATTGCGTAGCCATCCCTACTATGTAATTCCAGAACATTTTTATCACTCCCCAAAGAAACCCCAAACTAAGTAATAGTCGCTCCCACTCCTTTTCCGCCATCTCCAGGCACCTGCTAGCCTGCTACCGTTTCTGTGGGTTTGTCAGTTCTGGGTATTTCCTGTAGGTGAAGTCAGGCAGCATGTGGCTCTCTGTGCCTGGCTTCTGTCACGGAGCCTCATGTCCAAGCTCTTCCAGGTTGTAGCATCCGTCAGTGCTGCCCTTCATTGTATGGCTGATCATATTCCATTGTGTGCAGACCACGTGTTTATCCATCCATCAGTTGTTGGGCATTTGAGTTGTGTGTACTTTTCGTCAGTATCAAAAATGCTGCTGGAGCCCTGGCCGGGTGGCTCAGTCGGTTGGAGCATCGTCCATACACCAGAAAGGCTGTGGGTTCAATTCCCTGTCGGCACAAAGCTAGGTTGCAGGTTCAATCTCCAGTCGGAGTGCATGGGGGAGGCAACCAATTGATGTTTCACTCTCTCTAAAAATCAATGAAAGCATATCCCCGGGTGAGGATTTAGGAAAGCAGTGCTGCTGTGAGCATTCGTGTAGTTTTGTGCGGACATTGTTTGGTTTCCGTTAGGAATACTCAGTGGAATTGTTGGTGACACCACGCTGCAGCTCTGTGTTCACCCCTCTGAGGAGCTAACTGCCACACTGTTTTCCCGAGCCGCTGCACCTGGTGTCCTTCAGATTCTTACTGGTCGGGCCGGTGCCAGAGGACGCAGCCTGTCTGCCCAGGGCCTGAGCCATCCCTGTTGGCCGTGGTGGGCAAGGTCTTCACAAGATGCACGCAGTTAGCATCAGTGCTTTGCAGCTCTTCCGCCGCCCCTGGCAGCCCACCCCCAGCCCGCGGGCTCTGTAAACTCTCTCTGATTTGGTCATGGGTCTGCTGCACCTGGCGGTCCAGGCCGGTGACCGTGGGGCTAAGGTTTCCTCTCTGGCCTTCTCACCCTGTGACTGAACTCCTGACAGACCACCCGGGACCCTTCGTGACCCCATCTCTGCGCTCCTACATTTCCCCCTCCATGGCACTCGGCTCACAGAGGTCCTTCCATTCCTGTGTCTGCGTTCCTCCCGACCCATCCCTGCTCATTCACTGTCACCGGGAGGCCTGGGAAGGGAGCTGTGGGCTAGAGACACGCTGAGCGCTCGTCCACCTCTGCTCAGACATGCCCCCCGCAGGGGCGGAACCAGAGGGGGTGTGGGGTCAGGATATGCACTTGGGGTTCAGGCAAACAGCATTGCATCCAGCACAGCCCTGGCTGCTGTGTGTCGTTGGTTGGTTACTTAACCTCTCAGATCGCCAGTGCGCCTTGTTAGCTGGGGTCGGTGGGGTTAGTGAGAGGTTACGGCACTTCCCAGGTGCTTGTGAGAGTAGCATGCGGAGCTCCAAGCACTGCCTGGTGCTCAGTTACCGTGGCCTCCGGTGTCCTCTGCGCAAGGGGGCGGAGGTCACCTCACCTCTGGCTCTGCCCAGCGCTTAGCGCAGGGTCTGGCATTTTGTGAACTGTTTGTGGGAAGGAAGAGAGGATGAAGGAGAGAGACAGAAAGACAGATCTTTGAGGAATCCTGGAGGAACTTCTTTATTTCAGCACCGTTTCAGCCTCAGAGCTTGAGGCCAAGCCAGCTCCGCCCTGGAGCCTGAGGGTGTGCCTGGCGTTCCTCCCATCCTCCAGTGGATCCTCACCGAGGCCCAGGCGCCTGCAGAGAAGCCCTCCGTGTGTAAAACTGACCTTTTCACACAATGATAATCCCCAAAGATGTAGGAAAATGGGTGCTCACATTACCGTATTTTTCGGACCGTAAGACGCTCTGGACCATAAGACGCACCAGTTTTTAGAGAAGGGAAATGAAGAAAAAAAGATTCTGAAACAAATAGTGTCCTAAAATATTTTATGTGCATTAAAACCCAACATCACAGTCATAAACACATGTAATCAACCCTGTAAAGTAAACAGCAGCATTTAGAACCATTTTAGAGCCGGGCAAGCACACAGAGACCACACAGAGCCGGGCAAGTAAAAAAACTTTTTTTTTAAAGTATATGTGTAGGCTATATTTGGACCATAAGACGCAGGGACTTTTCCCCCCCACTTCTGGGAGGAAAAAAGTGCGTCTTATGGTCCGAAAAATACGGTAATTGCGAGAGAGGCTAAATCATTTAACTTTGGGGCAAATAACCTGGCAGAAGCTATGCACATACTCCTTGACTCAGTTCTGCTTTTGGACATAGTATCCTCCTACATAGTAAAGAGGTAATATGCAAATTAACCCCCCACCCTCACAAGATGGCTGCCTACAACCAGGACGGCAGCGGGGTTAGTGAGGAGCAACTAAATGGCTGAACAGCAGTCTGTGTAGGGTGACCAGGCTGGGGGGAGAGGGGGCGGACATTTGGGCCAGCAGGGGGCATGGGGGGGGGGGGCAGTTAGGGATGACCAGGCTGGCAGTGGGGGTGCAGTTGGGGGCGACCAGACCAGCAGGGGGTGCAGTTGGGGGCGACCAGGCTAGCAGGGGGTGCAGTTGGGGGCAACCAGGCCGGCAAAGGGGGGCAGTTGGGGATGACCAGGTCAGCAGAGGTGGACAGTAAGGGGTGACCAGGTCAGCGGAGGCGGGAGGCAGTTAGAAGCCACCCGGCCAGCAGGGAGGGGGCAGTTGGGTGCAACCTGGCTAGCAGCAGGGGGCAGTGAGAGGCGATCAGGCCAGCACGGGGAGTGGGGGCAGTTAGAGGTGACCAGGCAGGCAGGCAGTTGATCAATTAGGAGCCAGCAGTCCAGGATTGTGAGAGGGATGTCCCAGATTGGAGAGGGTGCAGGCTGCACTGAGAGGGAGCCCTCCCTCTGCACCCCATGCATGAATTTCATGCACTGGGCCTCTAGTATGAATATAAGGACCAGATTACTAGGCTGTTGATTGAAACACTAGCAAACAACCTACCGGTAAATGGGCAGAACAACCACAATGTCGACCAGTAGGGGGAGAGCTGAGTTAATAATGGTGTATCTGTCAATAAAGCATGTATCCATCAAAAGAATGAGTCAGACACGTCTGTATTGACTTGAAGAGAGATTCGTGGTGTATTAAATGAAAAAAGATTTCTAAGTAATACATATAATATGATTCCATTTTTATACTTTTAAATCATCCCCCTCATTCTTTTCTCCAAGAGGATATTAAGTTGTTTATTGATTACACATGGTAATGGATGCTACACAGGTTTGACTACATCTGTAATTTTATCTGGTGCCGTAATTCAGTGTTTCTGTATCGCACAGGACATGCCAATAATCGTTAGTAACCAAGTAGACTCCATGACTGCTTGGTGGCCCTTTTAACGGTGAACTCCAGGCCACGACGCAGTAGCTGTGAGTTCAGCACGCCAGGGCTTCTGCAGACACTGGCTTCTGTGCCCAGCAGGTTGTAAACACGCTTCAGGTGGAACCTGACACCACTCTGAAGTGATTCCCTGTCGCAGTTGGGGTAATTTACCAAGATGGCTTCAGAGCAGACTAGCTCACACGCACGTGTAATGGAAGACACATCCACTCGGTGTCACGATCCCACTATTCCATTTCGCAATCAGTAGCACGGCGCCAAAACCTTTGTCGGAATGCTTTCCACTTTCCGCAGAACAGAAGCTAAGATAACCTGTTACACAATTAGTCACAAGCACAGCCCTCGAGGTTTCTGCCCTTCCACATGAGTGTTGTCTAAACCAGCGGTCGCCAACCTCTCAGACCTCAGGGACCACCAGTGGTCTGCGGCCCTCGGTTGGCGGCCGCTGGTCTGAACCACGTCGTGGTGGCAGTGAGGCCCTGCCACCACGGAGCGGGCTGAGTTCCTGAGCCGCCGTGACCCGCAGCTCCCTGGCCCTCTGCCCTCCTCCCTGCTGAGCGCTGCTTCCTGCAGTAACTGACCCTGCGCTGCTGGAGCCGCCACGGCCGCCTTGGTTTCGTGGTTCGGCTCCCACCAGCACAGGGGCCCGAGCTTCTGCCCCCACAGCTTCCTCCTCTCCTGGGGACAGTGTTGGAATTGCCCAAATCACTGTAGCTTCCGCCACCCCCAAAACTGCTTCCATCATTACCAAAGCCGTGACAGCTACTACCCCTACTGCCACCAGAGCCACTCAGCCACAGCGTCCCCTCCACGACCAGTCGTCCTTCCCAGCAAACACCTCACAGCCGCCTCCGAACTGTCCATGGCCCTTCGACTTCTTTGTCCATCTCTTCTCAGTGTGGCCGTTCGCAGGATGGCATTTCCAAATGATAGTCTCGTCTGTGGAGTCCGGCCACCAAAGGTTACCGAAGCAGCCTCTCACCACTGCCGGGCTCAGCCATGGCTTCACTCACTCCATTCCCACAGTTGAGAAGAGCCCCTTAGGTAGTTCTCCATGCCTTCTTCAATGCCTCGGCAGAAATCTTCCTCGCAGGGCGTGGACACCAGGTCTTGAGATCCCTGTGGACACCGCCCTCCAGTTCCACTCCCTTCCACCCTCGCAGGCCTGGCATCCGTGGCTGCATCCACCTGCTCCCAGTGGCATCGTGACGAACCCAGAGCCTCGGGGTGCTGGGTGGTGGATCTCATGACAGCCTGTGTCCCCTGGCTCAGAAGGGCTCCTCCGACTCACCTCGTTTGTTTCAAAGCTCAGACCTCCGCGGAAGAGCCTTGGCCGCGCTTGGCTCTGTGCGAGACTCGGACTTGGCAGGCTTGACGACTGCGCGAGGGGAGACCAGCGATGCTGACTCCGCGGCTCCCCGGCAGGAAGGGGTGATCGAACCAACGTATCTGCCCTTTTTTCATTGATTTTAGAGAGAGGAAGCTAGAGAAACAGCAATTGGTTCCACTTATTTCTGCATTCATTGGTTGATTCTTGTATGTGCCCTGAATAGGGATCCAGCCCACAATCATGGTGTATGGGGACAATGCTCTAACCAGCTCAGCTACCCGGCAGGGCCCGCCCCTTCTTTTGTAATTTGAATTAACTGAGCCGTGGGCACAGGCTGACAAACTCCAGCAACCTCTGGCAAAGGCAGCACCGGTCCTGAGTTCACATCAGCCAGTGGGAGGGAGGAGGGGACCAGCAGGACCGAGGAGGGCCCTCTGGGTGGCGGCCGGGGCGGGCAGGCGCACGCGGTGCTGAGAGCCAGCCAAACAGCCAGCCAAACCCAGCACCACTAACCCGCTCTCTGTGTCGCCTCTGGTTTTCCTCCCACGGACCAGCCGAGGGACGTCGGGTACCTGGCCCAGCACCAGCTCTTCGACCAGGTAAGTCTGAGACTGTGCTCCTCTGCCCTTGGCTCAGCTCCCCTGCTCCCTTCCTGGGCTCTGGCTCCAGAGGGCAGCAAAGGGTAGCAGCTCATTTGCCACCCACTGGTGCTGCTCCCTGCAGAGCAGACTGGCACCCTGTGCATCGCCCTCCTCACCAGCAGGTGGCAGGGGAGCAGGCAAGGCCACCAGGCCTGAGGGGCCAGGTGTGCTGAGCCCAGGGCCCAGGGGGAGGCGGGGGAGAGGGCGGCGTCCACAAGCATCAGATGTGGTCAGACCTGGAAAAGGAGTCCCGGGCAGCAGGCAAAGGTGGCAGACTGACCTGGCCCAGGAAGAGCGAGTCGCTGCCTTCCCTGCTGCAGTTTTCTGGGCAGGTCCTGGCACCGCCCTCACCACGTCTCAGACATCCCCCGGCAAGGCCCCCCACCCTGGGCCTGCGGCTGGCTCGTGGCAGGGCGGGGTTTGATTCCCCGGGTACCCAGCCCTGGGGGCCGGTTTAAGGCCCCAGGACACACGTGCTGAGACTGGATGAGGAGGGGAGCGCAGGCTGCAGCTGGGAGAAGGGGCTCAGTGAGGCCAGAGGCAGGAGGCGCTCCCAGCGAGCAGTGCCTCTCAGGCCAGAGGGCACATCAGCCATCCTGGGCGGGTTTGTCCGGGATTGCAGAGCAGGGAGCAGGTGAGGAGGGAGGCTGGGCCGAACGGGAGGGCCTTGAATGAGGCCAGGAACTCAGATTTATCTGGAAAACAGAAGGAGCCTGTGAGGTTTTTAACAGGAGGGTTCCTAGTAAGAGGCGGTGTTTCCAACGGAACCCAGCAGGGAGCCAGGGAGCCGGGTGCTTGTGAGGGGCGGTGAGGGGGCGGTGAGGGTGAGGGGGGCTCTGCGTAGGGAGCAGAGGTGCCGCTGTCACAGCTCAGCGCCTGTGAGCAGACAGCAGAGGCGGCCCGGCCAGCATGGGCATCGCCGGGAGCCCCAGCACTGTGGCCGCCCTCCCGGGGCTCCAGAGCCGCCACACGAGCTCATGAAGCCGTCCTGGGAGCTCGGGACCTGCTGGCTGTGGGCCGTGAGAAAACCAGGTGCAGGGCTGGGTAAAGGAGGCTCCTACTGTGCTGAGGACGGGAAGTGCCACAGAAGATAGCAGTGATTGTCTGTGGGCGCTGGGCGGTCTTTCCTTCTCATTTCTGTAGTTTCCACATCTTCTAGGATGAGTGTGTATGCTCGTCATAATGAGAAAAGGCAGACTTGTTTTTAAATGCAAATCACACAAGAACCAAGGGAAGGGGCAGGAGTGAGGGTGTGCTCCGCTGCCAGCGCCGTCCGCTGTCCGGGGAAGGGAGAGGGCTTCTCCGCAGGCCCCTGTGCGCCAAGCATGGGCTCTGCCCTGGATTCGGGGCTAAGATGTCAGAGTCCCTCCCGCCCCGGGGGCCTGAGCCCATCCCCTCAGACGGTGATGAGGCCCCAGAGAAGGAAGGGCCCCCCAGGAGGAGGCTGGCGGCAGAGCGGGCTCTGGGGGGTGGGGTGGGCCGCCGGGAGGGTGTCTGGGGGTGACATTAGAGCAGGGACCAGTGAGCCATGTGAGGAGGTACGAGAAGGGCGGCAGGAGGAGAGCAACAGGAGTGACTTTCACCTTCAGGGGAACAGCGGTGGGGGCGGGGGGGGAAGAAGGGGGGGCTGGGTGAGGAAGGACAGTCTTCTGAGTGTGATGGGGGACTGGAGGGCGGTGTTTCCAGCATGTTGGGCGCTGGCGCCTGGACACTGGTGGGTGGCCGAGGCTGAGGGGAAGGGAGCAATCAAGGGAGATGCCTAGATTTGGGAGCCAACTGTCCTGCCTGTATGACGGGGCGGGGTGAGGGGTCCCGGGTTCAGTAGGGGCTGCGCCAGCCTCCTGAAACCTCCCCACAAAGTTACAGGGGGCTGGGCAGGCTGTCTTCCCCAGGCCTCCCATCCTAGGGCTCATGGGTCCTGCCTCCTGAGCTCTCCTGCTGAGAGGGGAAGGGGGCTCTGATTGATCGGATGGGTGCACAGAGCAGGCTGCCCCTGCCCCCTACGGTGTGATCTGAATCTCAGCTCCCTGCCCCAAAGCAGCCATCGGGCTAGAACACGAGGAGGCTGTTTTTTGTTTGTTGTTTTTAAATATATTTTATTGACTTTTTAGAGAGGAAGAGGGAGTGATAGAGAGTTAGAAACATCAGTGAGAGAGAATTATCGATCAGCTGCCTCTTGCACACCCCCTACTGGGGATGTGCCCGCAACCAAGGTACATGCCCTGGACCGGAATTTAACCTGAGACCTTTCAGTCCGCAGGCCGACGCTCTTCACTGAGCCAAACCAGTTTTGGCAAGAGGAGACTGTTTTCAGAGAAGGCAGCTTGTGATTATTTTGAAGATGTTTTGGCCTTGCCCAGGGTCTTTATCTGGGGTCCCCAGGGGTGTTCTCACCTCTGTGTTCGGAGCGGGTGGGAAGTGTGGGCGGCACGCAGGCAGAGGGGCTGGTGGTCTCTGCGCTGCCCCCCGCACCTTCTCTGCCCACGTGAGGCTCAGGGCCTCCCACTCAGACCTCTTGCTCCAGTATCTCTCCCTGACTTCCTCCCAGAGACCCCGGGCTTAGGGTACATTGGCCACTGCACTGGGCCTGCTTTTAACTATAATTCATATTACCGGGACGGGGTGCGGGGTGGAGGGGGGGGGTGTTCCTTCTCTTGAGGTTTCTGAATCCTGGGCCAGTGCTCTGATAACATCACCCAGTCACCTTTCGGAAATCCTGATGATGTCATCAGGAACCAGTGAGCTTCGCAGCATTCCATGGGCCTGGTATGGGGCGATCCCCGAAAACTTCACCTCGAACAGGCCTTCTCCCTCCGCCCAGGGCAGTGCCCGCAGGCCCGTTTCTGTGTCCACACCGGCTGCTGGAGGCAGACTTAACCGCAGACGGCAGTGTCTGGTCAGGGTGCCTGCAGGACGTTCCAGCTGTGCTCAGCGCCCGAACACGCAGTAGCTGCCCTGCAGTCTCCCTGCCGAGGACACCGGGCGCCTTCGGACCAGGCGCTGCCTCTGAGTAGCAGAGGCGGTCCCCGGCCTTCCCATCCCTCTCAGGCTGCAGCTCAGGCTGGCCCCCAGGGCCCTGAGGGACACTCCTCCCTGCCGTGGGGCGGGAGGTGCTCTGGTGGGCTCAGCACTGGGGTTCACTGGGGAGAGGTGTCTGCACCGGGAGCCGCTGGCTGGTTCTTTCCAATGAGGCCAGGACAGCGCCCTGCCCGCCCCACCAGGGTTGCCCGCCTGGCAGTGCCCTGAGGCTTTGGGACATTCAGGGGAACAGAAGCCTGGGCCGGGAAGGAGTCGCGTGTGTTAAAGCCATAAAGGAATCGGGTTGAGTATCAGTGGGCTGGGCTCGCAGTAGAAATGTCCAGGAGGCGGTCTCCCTCACTCGCTGAGCGCCGCTGTCTGTCTCAGGGGTTCCCGCGCCCGGAACCAGCCTGCCTGCGGCTTCGGAGGCTGCGGTGTGCCCTCCTGGGCTTTTAAAGGGCGGAAGCCGCCTTGATTGTCATGCCCTCCCTCCGCCCTCCTCCTGCGGCAAAGATGTCAGACTGCTCTGCCCAAAGGGGGCGTGGGCTGGGGAGGCTGGGGGGAGGGGGGAGGAAGCAGCCCAGGGGACAGTTAATGTACATCTTATCAGACCACTGACGTCAGACAAGATGGCAGACGCCGGTGGTGCGGGCAGGGAGCTTTCTCGCGGCCGCCGCCTCCTGGAGGGAACATCACAGCCTCCTGAGGCCCGCAGCCCCGACACCGGAGGAGGCAAGTTCGCTTCCACCTGCCAGACGCGCAGGCTTTGAAGGTGTGCCAGGCCCGCCTCGCTAAGGGATGGTTCCCGCAAGGGCACAGAGCCCAGCGTGGGCGCCCCTTCCCCACATCCTCACCACGCTGGTCCGTCTCCTCTGCAGCCTCGTCGGTGGGAGGCGATGCCATCGCATGTGGATCTTTTACTAAAGGGACTGATTAAGTCATCCGTGTGTGTTATCTCGTGTTTGTTCTTTGTATTGGGATCCTTATCGTGTGCCTGTGAACTGTGTGCGTTCACCCTTACTCACCACATTGCTCAGGAGGGTGTCTGGTCTGTTGGTCTTCTATAGTTAAGTTACTGCTTTACCATTCTTAGTAAATCTGGGAACGCCCCCTCCAGAGATATTGCGATCGTCAGGCCCATTTTCTTTTTGTTTGTTCTTTAACTTGATTCTTTAAAATAATTAACTCTTTAGGAAACTACTAACTGAAAGAAAAAAAATGAAAATTACCAATTGTTTAACTTTTTGTAAAGGTAAATCAAGCCCATTAAAGACACATTTATAAGAAATTAGTTTCATGCAGATTGCCTGAGCCCCCTCTGCAGCCTCAGGGGAGATGAGCGCATTTGAGTGAAAATGTCTGGACGCCTGGACTGATTTATCTTTAAGTGCAAAGACAAGCACGGTGTTGGGTTTTTTTTTAAAGGAAACAAGCGTAACATGCATATGACGTGGAAACAATTCTGACAACATCATAGCTCTTCCCTAGGGATTGTATTTTTCAAACTGAGTTTTAAATCCCTGTCCAGCACGTGTGGGTCCAGTCATATGTCACACGGGAGGACAGCGTGTATTTGGCCCTTGTCAGGTAGTCACATGACTTCTGGGCTGGCGTGGCCCGGCCTGGCCTCACCCCCCGGGTCTGCTCTGCCGCCCGCAGATCCCGGAGCTGAAGCAGGACATCAGCATCCCTGACTACTGCTGCCTGGGCGACGGGGAGGAGGAGGAGATCACCATCAACGCCTGGTTCGGGCCCCCCGGCACCGTGTCCCCCCTTCATCAGGATCCCCAGCAGAACTTCCTGGCCCAGGTGGGAGTCCTCCAGAGCGCCTGCCGCCTCCCGCGCCCGGCCCAGCCCGGCCCCCCGTTATCCACCTTCACACACCAGAGAGCCGATCCACCGACTGGGCCGTGGACACAGGAGGCAGGAGTGGCACCAGCTGGGGCGTGTGGGGCTGCTGGCTGGCCGGCCGGCTCATCTCAGGCCCCACACCGCCTCACTGCCGCCTCCCCTCCCAACCCTGCCTGGAGGGCCTCCCTGCCAGAACCCCCCACACAGGAGCAGCTCCTCGGCCCCCAGTTCTCCCGAGACCCGGAAGAGAGCAGCTTGCGCAGCCGCCGTAGTCTCCTAAGCACAGGGTCGAACCCATGGGGACATGCCTGCAGCCGGGCCGATGGGTGCACAGAGGGGCTGCCCCCTGCACACGCTCAGCCTGTGCTCTGTGGTGGGGGGACCTGCTCCCTCGCTGTGGGGTCACAGCGGGTCCTCGTGAGGCACCGGGGCGGTGGCTGTCACAGCAGGCCTAGCGATCGCCACAGCAACAGGCGCTGGTTTGCAGTGGGCCCGGAGGGACAGACTGGACCCAGCACATGGGCAGCAGGCACGGAGCTGGCTGGTGCGGGCAGCGGCGTGTGGAAGGTGCAGGGGCAGGGAGGACGTGGGTTCGGGGACCTGCAGTCAGTGTGGGGCAGCGGCGGGAGGTGAGGTCGCAGCCGGCTCACTGATGGTCACTCTTCCAGGTGCTGGGGAGGAAGTACATCCGCCTGTATTCCCCGCAGGAGTCGGAAGCTGTGTATCCTCACGACACGCACCTCCTCCATAACACGAGCCAGGTGAGACCGTGTGGCATCGCCGCTCCCCGCCCGCCCGCTGTCCGGAGACCGGGCACTGACCTGTGCCTCTGCAGGTGGACGTGGAGAATCCCGACCTGGAGAGGTTCCCCGGGTTCGCCGAGGCCCCGTTCCTGTCCTGCATCCTGTGCCCGGGAGAGCTGCTGTTCATCCCCGCGAAGCACTGGCACTACGTGCGGGCCCTGGACCTGAGCTTCTCCGTCAGCTTCTGGTGGTCGTAGCTGCTCTGTCCTGGCCAGCCGTGTGCGGCCAGAGCCCAGGACACGGGCCGGGCGGCGAGGCGTGGGCATGGCCAGGCCTGACGCGTTTGGGAAATGGCGGGCAGCGTGTGCCCTGGCAGAGCCTGGGCTCTGAGGTGGGCTGCCTGCGTCCAAACCCGGCCCCGTTGCTTAAGTGCCGTGTGGTTTGGGCAAGTGTGTCACCACCTGGCACACGGGGCCCTGGTCCTCCTCATGGGGTCTGGGAGGTGGAGCATGTGCAGAGCTGGGCAGTCATGCCTGTCACACAGCTGCCATGACGGGGCCTCTCCACGCCATGGCCTGCAGGCCCTGGAGCAGGTGGGCGTGGCCTGGTCACGGGAGAGGCCTGCCAGCCTGCTGAAGAGCTCAGACTCTGCTGGGCAATGGGAAGTCCAGGGACACACTTCCTTTTGGCAGTTTCTTTTTTTAATTATTCATTGATTTGGGGGAGAGGAAGGCAGAGAGAGACATCAGTTTGTTATATATGCCTTCGCTGGTTGACTCTTACAAGACCGGGATTGAACATGCAACCTTGGCCTAGCAGGACGACACTCCAGCCGAGCTCCGTTTCGTGCCGTCACTGCTGAGGTGGGACCTGCCTCGGGGACTGCGCTGGTCTCAGCATGAGTGGGTGCGTTCCCTGGCGCCCTCCCAGGAGGCTGTCCCAAAGCAAGAACGGGAGCCCTCCAGCGTCCAGCAGTCCCTCCTGGCCCGGGGGCTGCAGCCTGCCAGCTACTGCTCTCTGGGGAGAGGCCCGGACGGCAGGCTCTCCGTGTACGTGTACTCGTTTGCATAAATGTGCTGGTTCTGTTTGTATAGGATAGTGTGGTGTTTGTGTTTGGCCATTAAAGCTTTCCCAGCACTGTGACTGCAGGCAGCAGGCAGATCCCAGCAGCTGACACCAGACACGCCCCAGCCTGCCTGCCGGCCACCAGACCCCATGGTGCCACTTACGCAGGACTGCCTGGAGTGACACTGGTCACACCATGGCGTGAGGTAAACAGTAATCTCTTCCAAACCAGTCATAAAAGTACAGGCTTCCCCTGGCTGGTGTGCTCAGTGGTCAGAGCACAGGCCCGAGCATTAAAGGGTTGTGAGTTCGATTCACCCCAGTCAAGGGCATGTACCTGGGTTGTGGGTTCCATCCTCGCTTGGGGTGCATGTGGGAGGCAACCAATCGATGCATCTCTAAAAAAATCCATGAAAAAATGTCCTTGGGAGAGGAAGAACAAAAAAGTACTGTAATCTTACTGATACTCAGAAACACGCCGTTAGGACAAAGCTCCCGCTAAATTATAGCAACTTGTCCAAAATCCACACTAGGTGTGGAGAAGGAGGTCCTGCTGGGTCCCAGCAGCCCAGCCTTACCGCTCACGCACGCCGCTGGGTCTGCGCATCCCTCTTCTGGAATCTGCCCCCGGAGACAGCGACGGCGGTCGGAGACCACGTGCTCAGTGACCATGGCGTCACCTGTAACCACGGGCGCTGAGGGAGAAGCCCCTGTTCCTTTTCAATACACACAGGCTCTGGGATACTCCTGCCACTCTCGCTCACCAGATGGGGGCGGGGCACCAAGCAACTCTGCAACACCAGCTGGGCCTCCCGCAGTTACTTTGGTTCTGACATGTCTCCCGGAGGAGGGTCAGATCCGCAGGCTGAGGGCTGTCCCACAGGCTGTTCTGGGCAGGCAGCACTCGGGCACCGAGGACAGGACAGAACAGGCTGTTCCCAGGCCTCGGGCAGGCAGGCGGGGGCAGGCAGGGGAGGGGCAGTCCAATTCGTTGTCAGTAACCAAAGTGCGGGAGGCTGGTGGGACCATGGGAGGTGGTCATGGAGGAGGAGGAATGGCACCAGGGGCGTCTGGGAGGACACACACAAGACACAGTGTGACCTGGAGGCAGTGGGCAGCTCCTGCATTTGGGATTGCAATCGGCTGGGATGGGGTGAGGGTCTGCCCTGGGGCTGCATCCTGAGGGCACTGGGAGGATGAATGAGACAGCTGGGGTTCATTACAGTGGCAACAGTGACAGGTGACAGGAGTGACCCTTACCCCTGGGCTTTTCTAGACTGTTCTCCTGCCTTCCCCATGTCTCTGCAAGCTCCCCAAAGTCCTGCAGCTGCTTGACTGACACAACTGAACCCAGTTGTGGGCACCCACTGGCCTCTGCCAATCGGCTGGCACGTGCCTTGTGAGGACTGGGCAGGACCCCAGCTCATGGAGCTCGGCCTTCTCACTGCCTGCGAGGTTGGCATGAGGGTCCTGAGGGTCTGGACACAGGACTGCGCTGGGAGGGTGAGCCTCCCACCAGCAGGTGCCACCTGTTCCCACCCAGTGCCCGCTTCACACTGGGTTTGTGGAGGGGACCAGGCAGAGCATCGCTGCCTTCCCAGGTGGAGGCCTCCCTCCGCACTCGGTGCCCCAGTTCTCTCCGCCAGGGGACAGCACCTTCGGTTTGCTCAGCCATGGTTTCAGAGGGGCTGCTCCAGGTTCACCGGTGAGCCTGAGGTGCTAATGCCAGCTGGACCATCCGCCCGCCTCTGCAAGTGTCCGGATTGGAGCTGTAAACCGTGAGGATGTGTGCCGAGTGGGGGAGCCACCTACAGCCCCTCTTCCTCCTGACACCAGCGGGGCCGGGATGCTCAGTGCCCTTGGAACACCGGGTCTGCTCTCCTGAGGCCCCTCTGCCCAAGGCCTTGCCTAAGCCAGTTGGCGCTGACAGGGTCCTGCTGACACTGAGGGGAAGTCAGGGAACTAAAATTGTGTGGCAAGTGTGATGACCCAGGAAGTGACGCCCTAAGACCTAAGGGTGGGCAGGTGTCGGGCAGTGGCAGGTCCGAGGACGGAGGTACGGGCAGAGGGAAAGGCTCAGGGAGGCGCAGGTTCTCGCTCAGGAGCTGGGAGGAGTGCTGCCCCGCTGGAAGGGGGGAAGGAAAGGCCATGGGACCTTCAGGGCCTCATCTGGGCCTGAGTCCTGTGAGCCTGGACCCGGGTCCTTGTCAGCAGTCACTGGGGTTTCAGCAGGGGCGCGCCAGGCTGATGGGCATCATGGGACAGTCACTGTGGTAGAAAAGATGGTGTGGCTGGCCGCTTGGAGCCACGAGCAGTGAGGAGCTGGTGCAGAGGGGAGGTGGGGGAGGGACCTGGCCCGGGCAGCACAGGTGTGGTGACAGGCTTGATGCAGGGGGCCAGGGAGGAGGCCGAACCCCCAGTTCAGGGCTGGGGCAGCTGATGGGCAGGGCTGCCAGTCACTGAGCTGGGGCACAAAGGCCCACTGAGGAGAGTACCTTCAGCCAAGCCTGTGGGCCAGTTGCATCGTGAGCCAGAGGAGAGTCCAGACCACAGGGAAGTCAAGGCCAAGGCCAAGGCTCTCACAAGTCCAGATCTGGCTGCCCAGTGTTGATGGGACAAGTAACCGGAGCTGCAGAGTAATAGCAAGGCCACCCCCAGCAAGGACAGAGAGCCCCCTGGGCCGATGCTGTGCAGGGGCTGCTGGGACCCGAGCCCAGGGTTCCCGTATCAGAGCGCTCCAGGGAAGGCCTGATCGACCGGGACGCACTTCCCACAGACGGCGCAGAGCACAGAGGGATTCGGTGACAGGACGTTTTATTTCAAACCGACTAATGAGGGAAAATGAAGCTCCGAGGAGGTGACTCATGTGAGCCTCGAGGCACGGGGTCTTCCAGCCGGGCCTGCAGCACGCCGCTAGTGCGGCCTGGGCCGCAGAGACTTTCTGTTTGGCTTGGAGAGTGCAGCCCCCGTCTCCTTCTCGGGGTCGAAGACTTCTACACAGAAAACCAGGAAGACACTCCTGACAACTGCCCGTTCACAGCGACACAAGACATGCCCGGGACCCTGTCCTGACAGTGCTCACGGCTAGCCCTCCACCCACCTGTGAGGACAGGGAGGGAGCGATGACAGATGCACCACCCGAGGGGGCTGCTAGGAGAGAGCCCTGCCTAGACTCTGTGAGTTCCAGGAGCCTCTGAACTGCAAACAAGGCCCCACTGACCGCAGAGCCCTCTGCACGTGGGGTCCCGGCCCTGCCGATGCAGACCCCACACCCCCACCTCCCAGGCTCCTCCGTCCTCCCAGCCCAGCCCCCGCGCAGGCCAGGAGAGCCCAGGAGCCCAGCGACACCAACCTGGTATCTCGTGGGGCCAGTAGTCGTTGCAGTTGGGGCAGCGCGGCTCGGAATTGGACTGGAAGTACTTGGCCACACAAGGTAAGTGCATCCTGATCCCACAGGTCTCGCAGCTCTGACCCTGAAACAAGAACAGGGCAGCTGTGGACAAACCTTCAGGAGACTGTGCAGCACACGAGGTATAATATTTCTGTCTCCCAAACCCCAGATCAATGATAATGATCCCAAAGTCCTTGGTGCAATGCATTGATTAAAGAATTCCAACGAGGGCAGCTCAAGACTACAGGCCAGGGCAGGCAGTGGTGGCTGCAGGCCCCGCACAGCAGCAAGAGCACCCCAAAACTCGGCTCCCTGCAAGCCTAGGCCTCATCCTGCGGAGGATGTTATACGACTATCCAGGAAGCACCAGGCGATGTGTTTCAAACATTTAAAACACCCACTCTCTGTCCCAGGAAGTCCCCTCCCAGGGATCCAGCCAAAGGCAGCCGTCACCAGGCACAAGGGAGAGGTGCACCATGGCTGTCGGAGTGCAGTGAGATGCACAAAGGTAAACAACAAGGAGGACGCCTAACGCCCAGCACGGGCTCGGCGGCTGGAAGCCCACGAAGCCCCCGTGGAAAGCCAGCGATGGCGCGGGAGGACGGCCCACAGCTGCCGAGAGGACAGGAAGCGGCCGACCTGACAGCCTCCTGGAGGAAATACGGCGAGAGCCCTGGGCCACGGGGCCGTCCCGGACACTCCCAGGAGAGGCCCTCCTGCTCACTCGGAGGTGCCGGCCGTGCCAGAGGCTGGGCCCTCAGAGCTCAGGGAGGTCCCTCCGCCGGAGCCGCGCACCCGGGGAGCCCACGGGCACCTGGATGAGGAGGCCGTGGCAGATGTTGCAGATCTTCACGGCGTCAGGGTACGTCTCCCGGATGTGCTGCTCCATCTCCAGGATGGCCCGGGTGTGCAGGGTGAACTCGCCTTCCTTCTGCAGGACACGGGGCAGCAATGTCAGGCCCCGCACGCCAGCCCCCCTGCTGGGAATGCGTTCCCTCTGCAGCCGCACAGCCCGAGGCCCAGGGGGCACGAAGGCCCGGAGGCCCTCTGCACGTCAGGCGTACCAGCCCGCCAATGGTGTCCACGCTGGCCCCTCAGCAGAGCCCCCAGAGGGAGCCTAGGCAAAGACCTGAAAGAAACTGAGGGCACCTCGCTCACATTTTCTTAGCCCCTCACTCATGCCTGGACAGAGGAGTCACAAGTCTGCACAACAGCCCACGTGTGAGCGCAGTCACAGCCCCCCTACAATGGGGCCGGCCAGGAAGGGAGACAATCTCCCCCAGGGGTAAGCTCAAGACAGCCCCACCTCACTCCCAGGAAGCATACCAGGTGCCTCCCCGCACTGCTGCCTGGAGCCTCCACAGACCAAGATCACTTCCGGCCACACCACGTTACAGACGAAGCTGGAAACTGTCCCAACAGGGCAGGGACAGGCCCCAAGTCATACTGTGGTGGCGCTGGTGGGGGCCTCCCAGTTCCCAGGTCCACACGCCATGTGACCTAAAATCCCTGGGACACCAGGAAGTGCGGGAAAACCCAAGGAAAGAGCTCAGCTGGCCTGTCACCAAGTCAGAGGGAAGAGGCGGCTGGCTGTGGGGGGGCCAGTGCAGAGGCAAATGGCACCAAGGCCCCTGTAAGTTTATCACGACTCAGAAAGCCAACCAATGAACTGGGATGTGACTCTGTTGGCCATTTTGTTATGTCTGAGCCTGGCCCTTGATGGGCAAGAAAGGCAAGATCTTGCCAGGAGGTGCTCCTGAAGACAAGCCTCCACATCATCCCCAAGGGCTCCTGCACTTCTGCTACTTTCTGTCTAATTTTTACAAGCAAGAGCAATTTCTCCCACTTCTGGCAAACACTCCACCCTGGCTCCCAGGAAAGGGTATGCTTGTGTGGCCAAGCCAGGAAGCGCATTCACTCCACTCCGACCACCACAGTGACCCGTGACCACACAGCGGGAGACGGGCCACGGTGCAGAGCGTCAGACCGCAGAGTGGCTGCGGGGAGCAGGAGAGCAGCAGCAGGCGCTCCACCCAGCACTGCAGGCGCCCAGCTGCCAGAGTGGGCGGGCGCTGAGCCTCAGGTGTTGCACGCAGAGTCCTGTGGCTATTTCCTTCGCAAAAGCTCCCAAATCCATACGGTGTCCCTGCCCACAGCCACCACCCTCCACTTTCCCTCCTCCTAACTGCACTCAGCCCTCCTGCCCCTCTGCACCCTCTGCAGGGCAAACAGCCTGTCTCCGCCTCCACCCTCCATGGCTGCCCCGTTCTTAGGCTGAAGAACCAATCCGTTGCCCATCACGCAGGCTCACTGTGTCCCGCCGCCCCCCACTACACACACACACACACACACACACACACACACGTCTGTGCTCCGCAGGCTCTGGCCTTAGCTCCTTGAGCACCTGTCCCCTCAGGGGCACGGCCTTTGCAGAGGCCACCCCTCCCTCCAGCCCTGGGGAGCCTTCAGGCGCCTTTGTTCAAGTCATGATGACATCATGCTTGCTTTCTATCGGCAAGTACTACAGTGAGCGGTCTAAGTTCTGGGCTCTTTCCCTCCACCCGCCTACCCCCTCCGCCCTCCACCATGAGGCCCCAGCACTGCGGGGCCCAGCCCTTGCCCCGTGAGAACATCTGAGGGAAGATAAGTGGACCTTGTTCAGCTGAGTCGGGCTTGAGCCGTGTGTACTGAACACCTACTACATGCCTCAAACTGCCCAGTGCTCATCATTCTCGACCTTACTCAGCCCTGGGGGAGCATCACAGGGAGGGTGGTGTCGGGTGCCCAGGCAGGGTGTCAGGCCCTCCAGGGAAGACCACACAAAGTGACCTCCAATGCCTTGCATCTGACACCCACCCAGGGCCTTGGACAGGCTGCACAGCCGCCTCCGCACCTCCGTGCCCAGTAGAGCTGCCCAGGGCACAGGAGCAGGCCCAGGCATAGAGTCCTCTGTCGTAATGAATGTGATGTGCCCACCAGATGAGTTGAGTGAGGTCCATTCTGAGGCAGTCCCTCTGATCGCAGTGCTGCCCCGGGAAGGCTTGTTGGGGGCCAGCCAGCACCCCCCAGGCCCCAGCTGCTCCTCCAAAGCTGGAGGGGAGGGGGAAGGTGCTGTGGTAAACGGGGCAAGAGCAGATCCGTCTTTTGTGGGAAAAGAACGGAAGCATCAGTTCTGCTCGTCACTAGAACAAGACATGGCTGTCTATTGTAGAAACTCGAAACTGAGTCTGATCCTTTCACAGATTCCACATGCCTCAAGCTTGTCTGTGTGTCCTCCTCATGACAGTGCTGACCATGACCATGAAGGCGGTTCCTCTGGGAGCCCATCTCCAGCACCTTACCCACACCACTCATCCCATCCTTCGCAGCCCTGAGGGGGAGCCGAACTCTCTCTTATAGATGCAGGCCCAGACCTGGCGCTGCTCCTGTGCTCTCAGCCACTGCACACACTGCCCCGCAGCCTAGGGACTGGGCTCAAGCCCTGCAGCCCACAAGCCTGGGCGCAGCCCCTGGCTCTGCCACTGACTGTGGCCCCTGGACAGATGGCAGGTGGGCATCAAAGCAGGTAAGGGCCCTGAACGGACATCAGCTGGATTCAATAGGGTTCTGCAGGAAAAATTATTCATTCTAAAAAGTGAGCCACGCTAGCAGAGTACCTCAATCAGCCACTTGTTCTGTACGAACTTCTGCAGCACCTGCTCAGCTTCCTTCTTCCGCATCTTCTTGCCTTTAAGTTGATCAACCACATTCAAAATATTTGTGGAAGAGGCGAAGCCAGTTTCTGAGTCAATAATCAGTTCCAACTGGAATAAACAGCAGGTATCGCATTCATCTATTAAGTTGGCAAACACAAGTTTTAAGCAGGGATACCAATTCTGGTGGGGGAGGGGTTAGTAAAACTTCTCAGTTCACAGGCAGAGCTGCACACAGGTGTGATCCTCCAGGAAAACAGTCTCATCACATGCATCAAAAGCCACAAACTGCCAGCCAGTGGCTCACCCTCTGTATCAAAGTTGGCTGTTCAACTCCCGGTCAGGGCACATACCAAGGCTGCGAGTTCGATCTCCCGATCTCCAGTCGGGGTTATATGAGAGGCAACTGATTGATATTTCTCTCTCTCTCTCTCTCTCTCTCTCTCTCTCTCTCTCTCTCTCTCTCTCTCTCTCTCTCTCTCTTTCTCTCCTTCCCCTTTCCCTCTCTTCCCCCCTCCCCCTTTCCTTCCTCTCTCTAAAATTCATTAAAAAAATAAAAAAGCCAAAATCATGTTCACTCCTTCTAACTCAGCAGCCACTCTTGTAACACTGCCCCAAATAAATCCCCTCAATGCCCCCAAATCAAAGAGGGGGCACCTCTCACGTCCTGCCTCCCTGGGGACGCAGAAGCTGGAAAATGAGTGAATGAGTCAATGACGCTGCATCCCTACAACTCAGAGGTGGCCAGGCCCTCAAGGCTGGCCTGACGGGCAGGCGGGAGCCAGGTAGGGCAGAAGCAGAGCCAGGGTGGGCTGGAAGAGCACAGCTTGGGAGCCACAGAAGCCTGTGGACCCAGGCAGGGGAGGCTGCCTGGCAAGCCGCCCGAAACAGGGCGGGTCACTGGGGAGAGAGGCGTCCTGCGCTCACAGGTGTGGAGGGTGTCACAGAGCTGGGTTCTCAGGCCTGGCTGCTACCTGTCCCCCGAGGAGCTTAGAAAGGAATGATTCTAGGACTCTGTCCTCAGGGACCTGGATGTGACTGACCTGTTGTGAGGCCAAATGTCGAAGTTATTTTTACCGACCCAGTTACTGTAATGCGCATCCAGGGCTGAGAACCGTCTTGCCAGCTCCTCTGCCAGGTATGACATGAGGACTGAGTAGCAGCTCTGAAGCAGGGCACGCAGGGCAGCACCGCTCACGTGTGAATGCGGCAAGGGGCTGGGTGAGCATGGGATGAGGCCTTCCTAGCAAGCTCCGTAATGCTGCTGCTGGCAGTCCCGATCTGCCCTGCCAGTGCCCGCAGTGAGCCTGTTCACCTACATCGCACACCCTGAGGCCCGATGCTCGTCAGGGGTCAGACCTGGGCCAGCCCTCTCTCCCAGGCAGCCTCAGTGACCTCCCCACCATCACAGGGCAGCTGTAAATTCGGGGTGAGGCGCTCACTGACATCTCCCTGCAAAGGCTTTCTTGGGCAGCAATGGCAGTGGCCCTTGAACAGTGCAATTTCCATTTCTAATGATGAAGGCTTCTCATAAGAAGCTCGACTGCTGGGAGTTACTATTACTTACAGCCTTTCTGAACAAATCCAGTTCGTTCTCTGCAAAGTCTGAGGCCATTTTGGAGACTGCAGTTGTTGCAAGATTCACCTAAAAAAATAAGTCAGCAAGATGGTCAGGCTGTGCCTTCACTTGTCAGCTAGTTCACTTGTTGGTGCTCCCTCCCAGCCAGTGAGGGCCATGACCGGGCCCTGTGGGCCACAATGATGGATTTGGAACCAGTCTTATATCACAGACATAAATCTTTAGCTCCGTCAACATGTTTCATTCTCAAAGAATCCAGAAGTTGTACAATATTTTCCAAACTCAAGATACATTTGGAAAACGTGTCTGCATACTACCGGAGCTTCAACTGCACAAGCGCCGAGCAGGGTGTACAGAAATCTGACCACCGTTTACACTGCATTTCCAGCTATCTGACTCCACACCCTTTCCTCCCTGGCACAGAGTGTGGGAAACGTGCGCTGGAGTCCCTGTCTGACCGGAGCCTGGTCTCCTCTGATCGGCCTAAGGCAGCTCCCGAGCCAAAGATGGGGGGCTTGTCAGCTTCTCTCACCTCTGTTTCCCCTTGTTCCCCAGCTAGGAGGGAAAATCTAAAAACAGGAGGCTCCAAAAGGGTCTCAATCACTGTGCCCCCACAGTGTCTAAGTCTTGTTGAAGAGCATGTTACCCCTTTAATGTTAATATTCCGTGCATTTGGGTGACGTCTTGCAGAAAACGGTCAACAAACAAAACAAAGTCAAATGCATGCCTCTGGGGCAGTGAGGCAAGCACTGAGGGCAAGAGTCCAGGTGCAGTTCTGGTCACCCCGCCCTGATAGCAGGGGTTCTACAGAGACTACAGGCCTGGGGAGCACAGAGCAGGCTGGGTCAGGGGTGGCAGGGCTCAGCCATCTGAGATGTCTCCCTCCCGTCTCAGAGCCCTTGCTGAGGCGGGTCACCCTGGTTCTTCCCCAGCAGGCTCTGGGCAGTTGTCTCAGTCCCAGTTCCTCACAAACGCCACTAGATGGCTCTGTCTGGCACTTACCAGGGCATAAATGGGCCTCCCGTCATCTTCAGAGACTCCTTTCTTTATCTCAATATACAAGGACTCCAAGACACTGTTAATGTTGTGGATGAAGTCCTCCAACTTCTCCACAGGAGCGTTGGCTGGAAATAAACAGGCAAGGGTTAGGGGTGTGCTTCATCAGAATGTGTCACTTGTTTCAATCCATCAACCCGAACGGGACAGCAAAGCCAGACATGGGCAAAGGCCCAGCCTCTTTGGTGGATGTGGCCCCCAGACGGGCAAAGGCCCAGCCTCTTTGGTGGATGTGGCCCCCAGACGGGCAAAGGCCCAGCCTCTTTGGTGGATGTGGCCCCCAGACGGGCAAAGGCCCAGCCTCTTTGGTGGATGTGGCTCTTTCTTCCTGGACTGTTCAGAGGCAATGGGTCTTGGGAGGCAGAAAGGCCCAGGAAAAGGTATCTGAACCGGCTGTGGTCTTTCTGTCTTTGCTCACAGCCCATCTGCTTTCCCACACAGCTCCCTGATGCCAATTACCATCCCCACACAGCACCTCATACACAGTGTGTGCGCAGGACCTGTGCTGAGCACCTGCTACACACAACTCACAGCCCAGCTCCCACACCTCGTCCCAGCTCCCTTCATGATGCCTCTGTCCCTGTATAGCCTCGCAAACTCATGGGTGCAACAGTGAGGAACAACAGCGAGGGGTACAAACAGCAGCTCACACTGAGTGATCCCAGCAGACGCCCTGATCCCAGCGTTCTTCACACAGTAATTCACTGACCCTGCCAACAGCCCTCCAAGCAGGCACTACCATCCTCCTCCCAGATGCAGAGAGGGGACTGATGCCCCAAGCATCACGCCATCAGGCACGTGAAAGCAGCCATGCTAACTGCTCTCCCACCTCCACACTGCCAACAGTAGGCGCACAGCCCAGAAACTACAAGAAGGCAGCTACTACTGGCAGGTCCATCAGTCCATCAGAGGAGGGGATGGACAGAGCATGAAGAGAGGCCACCCAACATAGTATTGCAGGGGTGTGGGGTGAATGGAAAGCTGAGGGCCTGGGAGGGAAGAAGGGCCAGAAGGGCCGATGAGGCTGCAGTGGGAGCAGGAGCCAGATGGCACAGCCCGCAGACAAGAAGAGTGTGTGACCTCCTCCTGTGGGCCATGGGGGCCTTTCAGAGCTGGAAGCAGAGGATGGTCAGGGTCACCTTTCCTCTTCCTACCATTTATAAATGGTATGACACTTTGTTTTAAAACCAAGACTATGTATTGCTCTTTGCACTTATTTAAATAATCAATTGAACTTCTGGTTAAGATAGCAGCTTAGATAAACAGTACTCACCTCCTCTCACAATCACATCAAAATTACAACTAAACGACAAAGCAACCATCATTCAGAACTGCCTGGAATCTGGCTGGCTGGAATTTCTACAATTAGAGATTTAAAGAAGCAGCCACATCAAGACTAGTAGGAGAGGCAGAGATGTGGAATGAGTTGGTCCCACATCCACATGTGATGGATAAAAACCAAGAGGGCTGCCGAAACTGGTTTGGCTCAGTGGTAGAGCGTTGGTCTGTGGACTGAGAGGTCCCAGGTTCGATTCCGGTCAAGGGCATGTACATTGGTTGCGGGCACATCCCCGGTAGGGGGTGTGCAAGAGGCAGCTGGTTGATGTTTCTCTCTCATCAACGTTTCTAGCTCTCTATCCCTCTCTCCTCCTCTCTGTAAAAAATCAATAAAATATATTAAAAAAAAAAAAAAAAAAAAAAAAAAGCCAAGAGGGCTACCTCAGCTGTGGAGGCTCCCCCTGAGGAATGAGGGTCCCAGCCCCTCACCAGGCACCCATCCTAGGGTTCCAGTGCCAGGAAGATAAGTCACTAAAACTTCTGACTATCAAGACCAGCAAGATTGCGGCTGAGTGAGAGAGGGGGGCTGCTGGAGTCCCAACCAGTTCCTCTTAAAAGGGCACATGCACAGACTTACTCAGACTCACTCGCTCTGAGCTCCAGCTCTGGGGCAGCAGTTTGAAAGGCGTCAGAGACACATGGGAGGAACTGAATTGTCCAACATCAGGGCAAGAGCTGGAGGGGCAGTTTCCTCCCAGACAGAAGGGCTGGCAGAGGCCATTGTTCCTTTCGTGAGCTCTCCCCTCCCAATGACAGCAGGCTGGGCCATATCTGAGATTCCCTGAGGCCCCGCCCCACCCAACTTTGGGGCCCACCCAAGCTGTTTCCCATTAGCTTTTCCATACGAATGACCTCTCTTGGCTCATGCTTCAGATTTTCCTAAAATCTGTCAAATAAGCAGCATTTGGCTTCAGCAAGCCCCATATCTCTTACTAAGTGGCCCAGCCCAGCCCTAACAGCAGTCAGTTTTGGTTCACAGCTTGGCTTTCCCAGGGCACTTTCAAACCCCACAAAAGTAGCAGCCATCTGCAGATTGCTTTATAGCTCATGCCAGGTGGCCCTGGGCAGAACACAGGCAGTGCCTGACCTTAGCTTGCACATCCCAGCGCACCCAGTGGACAGTTTCAGAGCACATCAAAGCACCACCACCCAACCACCCTCACAAGCAACAGTTAAGTGGCAGATTCAGTGGGCACCAGAGACCTGCTGAAGTAAGTCCTGATCTGTGGGGTGGACTACTGCACAGCTAATCCCCCATGGTGGTTGGAAGTCAGTGGTCCGTGATCGCAGCCAGTCTTTGCAGCTGATTGGCCCAAGGGTAAATCCCTCCCACTGATGTTCCAACAGCAATCAAGGCTCAACTACAAGAGGAAGGTGTATACAGTCCACACAGGAGGTGCACCTCCAGTGCCCAGCTTGGGTGATCAGGAAGGCTGGGCCACTGGACCTTTCAGGACACCTACTACATTACACCACTCCATCAAGTCTGGGAGCCGTGGCAGCTCTACCTAATACATAGAAATAAACAGAGGGAGGCTGCCAAAAGGAGGAGACAAAGAAACATGTCCCAAATGAAAGAACAGAATAAAACTCCATAAAAAAATTTTTTTTAAATGGAGGCAAGATATCTAATAGGTTAAACACTGGTTATAAAGATGCTCAATGAACTTAATGAGACCTTAACAACACAAAAAGGACTCATCAAAAATGAAGGATACACTAACTGAAGTGAAGAATAATTTACAGGGACTCAACAGCAGAAAAGATGAAGCTGAGAATTAAATCTGCAATTTGGAATATAAGGAAGCAAAAAACACACAATCAGAACAGCAAAAAGAAAAATAATTTTTTAAAAAGAGGACAGTGTAAGGAGCTTCTGGAACAATTTCAAGCATGCCAACATTTGCAACATGAAGGTGTAAGGAGAAGAGAGAGAGCAAGAAACTAAAAACCTATTTGAAAAAACAATGACAGAAAACTTCCTTAACATGGTGAAGGAAATAGACATACAAGTCCAGGAATCGCAGAGTCCCAAACAAGATGAACCCAAGGAGGCCTACATCAAGACACATCACAAATGAATATAAAAGTTTAAAGACAAAGGTTCTTAAAAGCAGCAAGAGAAAAGCAGTTAGTTACCTACAAGGAAGTTCCCATAAGATTGTCATCTGGTTTCACAGAAGAAACTATGCAGGCCAGAAGGGAGTAGCAAGAAATACAGCGGAATCTTGGTTCCCAAACTTAACCAGTCCAGAAGGCTGTTCTAAAGTGATTTGTTCAAAAACCAAATCATTATTTCCCATTAGAAATAATGTAAATTGAATTAATCCATTCCAGACCCCCAAATGACTCCCTGTTTTAACCTTCCTCAATTGCAGGTGATCATTGTTTCGTGAGCACTTTCACACCCTCAACAACATCAGGTACTCTTGATGGCCTCTTTATGTTTTAAAATTGTGCTGATAGTCCATTTTGCCATGCCATACTCAGCAGCCAGATGAGACACACACAAATACCTCTATCATACTTTGCAATTATCTTTTTCCTTTTTTCAAAAAAAAAAAATCCTCACCCAGGGATATTTTTTCCCATTGCTTTTTAGAGAGAATGGAAAGGAGAGAGGGAAAGGAAGAAAGAGAGAGATCAATCGAGAGAGACTTATCAATCAGTTGCCTCCCGCATGTGCCCCCGAGGTCGTGGATCAAACCTGCAACCCAGTACATGCTCTTGACTTGGAATCAAACTTACAACACCTTGCTGCATAGGCCAATGCTTTAACCACTAGGGAAACCAGCCAGAATGCAAATGTTCTTTTTAAGCTCTATCATTGTTCTCTCAACTTTTCTTTTCACTTTGCTGCTATCACTAACCTTCTTAGGACCCAAGGCGAGTTACTGTACGTATTTAATGATAACAATAAGCAGCAACAAAAAGCAAAAGAAACTGAAAATAATCATAGGACAATTTCCTGGGATATTGATAATGTGAGGGTTAGCAGTAAACTGACTTATACTTATGTATTCTCTCCTTTGTTGCCTGAGACACGTGACTGATCACACAAATATCAGCATTAAAAGGTTATCGAGTTGAGAACTGAAGTTTTGTTGGACAACAGACATTTTTTCCATAAACAAGTTGGTTGAGAACTGAACTGTTCAAAATGGGAGATGTTTGAGAACTGAGGTTTGTATTCAAAGTTATGAAAAGCAAGGACCTACAACCAAGATTTCTCTACCTAGCAAAGCTATCATTTAGAATCAAAGGACAGATATACAGCTTCCCAGACAAGAAAAAGCTAAAGGAGTTCATCACCACCAAACAAGTATTATATGAGTCTTCTTTAGGAAGAAGGAAAAAAAAGATAGAAAATAGGAGTAATAAAATAGCAATAAATACATATCTATCAACAATTGAATCTAAAAAATCAAAACAAGAAGAACAGAAAAAGACTTACAGATAAAGAAAATGGTTTAACAGTTGCCAGATGGAAGGGGAGTTAGGGAGATGAGTGAAAAGGTGAAGGGATTAAGAAGTATAAATTGATTGTTACAGAACAGTCATGGGGATATAAAGTACTGCCTAAGGAATATAGTCAATATTCTATAAACTATGTATGGTGTCAGATGGGTATGATATTTATGGGGATAATCACTTAATAGGTTATATAATGTCTAATCGCTGAGGTGTACACCTGAAACTAATATAATAATGTATGTCAACTGTAATTGGA